TAGAATTTCACTTAACTTTTTCTGATTTCTGTCTTCCATATTTCAGACCTGAGATTAATGTATAAATTATTGCTTGAAGATAAGGAATGGAAATTTTCCTAAAAATAAATATTACAAGAAATAATGAATTGCCACAGTATAATGTTCAACAAGTAAACACAGGAACTCGACGCAGGCCTGTAGCTACCCTCAGAGCTAGGGAGGCCCTGTCTCCCTTCTGAGGACATGAAATCCAGGACTTAACGTTTTTCTTGAACAGCTACTAAAAGCAGGGGAAATATCTTGTCCCCACATACATACTATAATCCAGCATAGTCTTTATCTTAACTTTACTCCTGTTCCTGTTTAACCTATGTATACATGAGGAAAATAAACTAAACATGCTCCTCATAGCCATTTCCTCTGTAATTTATTTACTTTTTCCAATTTGGAAATACCCATAAATGAAAGTCATTACTTTAGTCTGTCATAGAAACACTGTCCTTGAGTTATACATATTTTAATTCTATGCTCTAGGATGTTGTCAAAAATTGATTTTAAAAATTCCCAGCCATACGGAGAGCCTCTTGGCATATTTTGTAAAAATCACTGTTGAAGATTTTATTCATTTTATGTTTTTCGGTGATGCCTTGTAGAAAGATCTATGCTAAATAGTTCCTTTATAATTTAACATAGAGAAACTTTGTCTTTCATCTCTGAACTTATTTTTTGTTTCTTTTTTATCAGACAATAAAAATCTAAGTTTCATTTAGCAGATACCTATGTTGATTTGTTCACCTTTGTAAACCCCAGGACAGGGGCTTGCATGTTGCAGTGACTCTGCAAATATTTGTTGAATGAATTGATTCAACCATAATTTCTTCTTTTGTGTTGGTTGCAAAGAAACTTAGGGCTAAATGCAGTAACTGTAATAGTCTATGTTGTTGGTATATTTATTTTCTTTAACAATTCTGATTTCATGTTTTCAATTTCTATTTAAACAATTTCAATTTAAACAATATGGAAGAAAAATACAAATGTATTTTAATTATAAAACACTGCAAACTCTGAAAACTGGTATAGGATGTCATAAAATAAAAAATATTTTATTTTCTAGATAATTAAAACCAGTATCATCTGACTTCATTTTATAAAGTATCTAACAACTTATAAAATTAAGTACATTTTTACTGGAAAAAACATAGCCCTTTTTTTGAAGCATGAACAAACTTTTAGACAGAAAACACAATCAGAAAATATACATAAATACTGGATAAAGAAAAACAAATAGTTGAACTTCATTTTTTTTTCCATTAGAAGACATGAGGGGTATATATATACACACACACACGTATACACATATATATGAAAGAAAATGTTGCAAATTTCAAGAGGTGTAAAACATTTGCTATTTAAAAACTTCCCAAAGGACAGTTTAATTTTAGCAATTTAAAACAATGAAAAGCCTGGAAAGCCCTAGCTTCGTGGGTTTGTAAAATCTGTGTTCCCTGAATCTTTCTGTGGGTGTACAGACAGACTTAAATCTAAGCCCAAGTCTTATAGTGATGAAGGGAGAATAACATTAAATGGCCTGTTTAGCTCATTTGACAGGTATCCTGTCACTGGGCTTTGAAATGAAGAGATCCAAAGCCCTTTATTCAAAACTCAGTAATGCCTTGGGTCTCATTAAAGGACAGAGGGTAGAATAGAGACCCAAATCAGATGCAACCAGAAAGTAATACTGGCAGGGATGATTGAGCAAATTCTTTGGTTTCCTGGTGCCGACTACATTTATGTGCCTTTGAGGATCATGGAATTCAGTCTCTGAGCAAGTCTGCCACACTCTAGTATACTGTACATATTAGTCTTGTTGAAGGCATTGCTCCCTTCGTTTGCATTTTTTGCACGTTTTGGTAATTCACCTCCTGCTGATCCTTGCTGGGATCTCTTTTAACTGATATTAAAAATGAGATACAATTAATTTATTTTAAGAGTTAGGCTTTCTTTCAAGAATATCTCCATTTTCTAATCAGAAACATGTGTTCCTGTATTAATGACTCTTAAAGTAGGCTCAAACAAAAAACTGGGAGAGATAAGTAAGGGTTTTTAATCTATAGTATTAATGACATATAAGGCAAAAATAAGAGTGTGTTAGATCCTTACTTCCCTCTGGTGGGAGAGTCCGTGAATGTGTGTCTAACACGGGAAGTGGCTATGACATTAAATGAGCTGTGAGCACACAGCAAACTTTGAGGGATAGGAGTCACACAGTTCCTATTTTCCCTCCTTGGACAGATTTTAGCATGTGAAATAGAAATTAAGAGGACAATGACACATAGACTCTCTATTTGGTTCCTTTTAGTTTTTTCCAAAGTTCGTGTTCCCAAATTCAGGAAACTAAATACTATTGGAAGCTTGGAAATGTTGAGGAACATGACTATTACTTAAATGATTTCTAAAGAGGGTGTATATTGTATTCTAATGAAACCATTAATGAAGATAAATATATCTAAAATAAATGTCTTGAGAATCTTAAAGTATGCAATCAGTGTTTAACCAGGAATTACAAGCTTCAATTGACATTATCTTTGTTCCTGTCTTAAACTTGGATTTCAACAAACATGTATTTTTAAAATTTACTTTTTCTTAAAAGTTTTTCTTTAAGAGTTTTTAAGATAAATCTGACATCAAACTAGAAGATCCTGGACTACACTGAGTGACAGAAGAATTTTAATTTGCATGTATTAAAAATGTATTTTTTTCTTCCGATACCCAATAAAGTAATAAGATACGAAAAACATGCCAATTAAGAACAGTGACACTCAACATTAGAGATAATCTGTTTAAAACCAAATCCATATATAAATACTTTTTGGAATAAAAATTCAATTATCAAATCTCTTTGAAATGGGCAAAATGTTAACATGCAATATAAATGACTTTGAGAGACCAGTAGAATCTCTCATGATATTTATGGGAACAATTTTATAAATGCATATATATTTGTATAGTGACACAGATCAACTTGAAGAGTTCTTTGTTTCAGGAACAAAATTCTCAGGGAGAGGCTTGATTTTTCAATGAGTACAAAGACGGATGGTTCACTAAAGAAGGTATGCATAAATTCTACATTTTTGAATATTTTTCCAAATGAATTAGTTTGCAAAGTAGGAATAAAGGTATTTTAATTGCAGTTAGTACCAGTGGCTTATAACACCATCAAAATATAATAATTGTTTATAAAAATATAAATAATTTAAATTTGTTTTCATTTAAAATTTAAAATATATACAATTAGCCTCAGACTTTGATTTTTCATTATTATTTTTTATTATTTTTAATAATATTTCTGTGGATCAGCATATCACAATGTACATTCTTGGAAACATTAATACTGCAAAACATGCTGCAAAATGTGTTATCAAACAACTTTGTTAAAAGCTGTGTATTATAAGGAACTATTTATAATTTTATTAGATATGATTATAGTATTGTAATTTTGTTAAAAAATTATTGATTTTTTAAAAGATGCATGCTATTTGTGAATGAAATGATGAAATTTCCAGGATTTGCTTCCACATATTATGAAAATAGAGGAAAAGGATAGGGGTGAGGACAGGGATGGGTTAGCCATGGGTTGGTGTTACTGGACTTGAATGATGAGTACTTGTGGGTTCAGTATGCTATAGAGCCTACATTTGTGTATTTTACCTTTATTTGAAACTCTCCACAACAAAAAGTAAAACAAATAAATAAAAGATGCATGTCTCTTAAATATTTTATAATGAACAAAAGAGCTGTGAGAAGTTCTGGGTAGAAGATCCGTTTGTTTATATGAGCTCTTCCAAACTTATAGACCACTGAACTATTCTTTTCAAGGAACATCTGTAAATATCTCTCCTGGACACTTTAGGAATGGCTACATAATAGTAGAGCCAATGTTTTTCCATGTATAATTGTCCATGATAATTTCTGTCTTATAGCGCATAAAAATTCCATCTACATATTGAAAAACATTAAGATAAAATGTGGGAAATGTTTAAAATATCTTTTATTTCTAAATTCTAAGAGGTTTCAGATGTCTATAAGTATATTAACTAATTTTTTTCAGTGTCATAGACATTTATCCTGTTGTTAAAGAAAACAAAATTTCAGAAAGAAAGAAAGAATAGATGGTAGTAAATATTTTAAAAGATAAGAAACTATTCTTTTTGATTGAATATTTGCCATAAATCTAGTTATGATTGCTTAATATCTAAATGAAAAGCTCTGCCTGAAAACTTCACATATCATTATCAACCTATATAATATTATTTATATATTTTATCCCAAATTTCTATAACATTTAAGTATCTGTTAAAATTTCAATTGCATACACATGAATTATTTCTCACTCTAGAAAAGTTAGATTAGCTAGAGACAGTCTTCAAAGTGAAATAATTGCTAAATATGATTTATATTTTTATATAAGGTGCTTTATAATTTTGCATGTCTGAGAAACTACATTTTAGTTTCAAAATAAGCTAAGGAAATTTACTATTAAAAAAACCATATATACATTTTTAACTTTGCATCTAAATAAGACAACCTGCATTACTGTTTGTAGCTGTCCTTTCTAGCTTTTTAGAGACTAGCAAAGTTTTCATTGTTGACCTTTAACGAAAATTTAAACAAGAACACTTGCATTTATTACAATATATTGCCAAAAATTGCATTGATTTCCACTGATGCTATTAATTTGATGAATGTTTTGTTATTTGTACCATTTGCACAGTCAAAACAAGCTAATTATGTCTTAGTGACATTTTTGACAATTGCTTTAACTCTGGCAAAAAAAGTATGTCTTCTTTGCTTGAACAAAAAATTACTCTTGCCTAATGAAAGCTTGAACTAGGCAAGAGAAGACTAGCACATGTTAGAAGTCTTGCAAGTTTCACTTTGGAATAAGTGGTAAACAACCATTTCCCAGGACTCTCTTTTAATAGAAGAGCTCACATTTTGTAGAAGAAAATATTATGTACCTGCATAATCTGTTCTTGCATAATGCCCATCTTCAGACTTAGTAGTTGTAGTTGTGTTATCTGTGTTAAAAAATTAACAATACACATTGATTAACTGTTTCCTAAATATCTAATATGAAACTTATATATTTCCTCCAACAATATCTTCATTGCAATTAAGGAATTTTTACAACTGGAGTTCTAAGCAACCTGTATACTAAGACAGATTTACAATGTCAATTTCTGTTTGAGAACAAATAGTAAAATGAAGAGAGCTTTCTAAAGTTTGAGAAAAGAAGAAGATTCATAATTATAACTGAGAAAAATTGGGCAAAGGAGTAGCAAATCAAAAACTAAGAAAATGCTTGTTTCTGAACAAGAAAGAAAATAGAACATTCTAGTACCTTTTGCTTTTAAAAATGCATTTTAAATATTTGTACTGAATCAATACATAAAAATGAAGTGATTTGCTTTTAGTTTCAAGGATGTCTAATAAATTCTTAGATTCGTTTTAAAAATGTCTTTGACTTTCTTTTTTCCCTTTGCAAGAAAATTGTCTGCTATCTTGTGAATATTAGCTTCTGTGTTTATGGCGTTGTGACAATACAGTTCCATTGTATAGAGACAGATCTGGACGGTTGCTGAGAGCCCCTCAAAATCCTATAATTGACAAAAATGCTACAGTAGACTCTACGATCCATTGTAAATAAGAACTGCATTTTGAAAATGGAATAGCTGCCTAATAAGGAGTTTTCTTCACTTTTCATTTTTGCACAAAGACTAAAAACATTCTTCGAAATGAATTTTGGTATGAACATTACCTTGACATCGACCCAAAGACATGACTTCAATTTTCTCTTGTTTCTGACACGATGCTTCTTTGATTTGACATGCATTATCATAAGATTTCCCATCAGAAGCACAGAGGGGATTGAAGTTGGTTTGAGAACAGTCAATATTACACACACACCTAAAAAAACCAGAGAAATAAAAACATGTAATATCAATAGTGTTGTTACCGCATTATAAGTAAAATACAAATGAAAGAATTGCTAAGTTGACAAAATGCAAGTTGGCAAAATTGAATTGTATCCTTCCAGGGAAGTTCCTTCACTTTCCTACCTGAGAAGAAAAGAAACACAGAACTAATAGAAAATAATTCAAACAACTGAGCAATGGATAAAAAATGAAAAGGAAAAACTCAAAAATGATCATGAGTTAATCTCTGCCCTGGAACTTTAAAAACATGTACATAAATTTCCATGCTGATGTCTGCAGAATAGGAATAGGCTGAGGTAGTCACGAAACTCTGCTTTAGAGTTTTCTTAAATTGAATCTTACTTTCTCCTTTTTTTGGGATATTTGACTGGTTAAAGCTTGTGGAAAACTGACTCAGAGGACAGGTCAGAGAAAGCAAACAAGTAAATTATTGGGCATGCAATCAGGAGTTGTATTTCTTTGGCATAAATAAGAATGCACATAAAATGTACTAAATGGTAATCTTCAGTTGTCCTTAACATTTTGGGGGGGGCCACAAAACCCTTTGGAAAAATGAAAGCTATAGATCTCTCCCCAGAAATATCCATGTTCATATAAACAACGCTTCTGTATAAAATTTCAGGGTTGTCTTGGGCCCCTTTAGGCATATCCTATGAAACCCCTTCCCAGGTATACAGTGCTATTTTTCTACCCCTCATTTTAAATAATCAAATAATAAATACAAGTTGATTGCCACTCATGATGTTAATATTTTTCTATAAATAAAAATTCGGTGATTTAATGAGAATTAGGTTACCTAAAGAAGACTTAAACATTTTAAAGAAAATTTTACATGATTGTTCCTATGTCATTATACTTCTCTATTGTATTATTCTGAATATTGGGTCTTGTGTGCTTTTTGGTGTGTGTGTACAACCATGTTACAGCTTTAGAATATAAACTCATATTTCACATTTTTATTAATATTTATGTTGTCTTATAAATAGATTATATGTTTCCCAAAGTCATGAAGCATACATTTTTACTTCTGTATATCTTACTGAGAGCTAGGCATACAATGGCAAGCAGGTTACTACATGCTAGACTCTCAACATGTATTGCTTTATTTAATCCTCACAACAGCTGTTTCACAGACCAAAGATATTACATAAGGTTAGACACTGGTAAATTGTGGAATAAGGACCCACTCATAGATTTAGTAAGCTAAAACCCAACCCCTTCTCTCTAATACCACAGACTGTGTTATTACAATCTCCTGGAGAACTTTTAAGTATACGGATTCATAAGCAGATTTCTGGGCTCCAGTAAATCTAGGGTAGCTTCTAACATTCTATATTCTTAAGTAGTCATCCTGGCACCAGACTCAATTCCTGGGAATCACTGCTTGATCAGTCTGTTGATTGAGTGAGAGAGGGTTTGTCTACACACCAGTGCATCTCCGAGTGTAGCCCTTAGACCATCTGTGTCAGAATTACCTAGATTGCTGTTTAAAAATGCTGGCAGAAAATGTGCTAATGAACTTTTTTTTTTCTTTTTTTGTAAGAGAATTGCTGTAGGAATGCCTGGTTATTTTTACATTTACCTATTTAGGAACAAATAGCTAGAACAGATGGCAACCATCTCTAAACACTTAACTCATCGAGGAGTGGTGTTCCTACCTCAGCTTTGATGTTGCCATGTGATCACAAGCTACTGGAACATGACATTGCTACCTCAATTGACTCTTGGCATCTGAAAACCTGAGATCAGGAGCTGCCTATGTGTTCAAAGAGCTTCTGGTTCTTACAGAGTGGATGTGGATAAGTGACTTTGTAGGCCAAGCCTTAATCATTATATTAAATAAAAAAGGAGTGGGGAGGTTGACATTTGCATTTTTAAAAAGGTAGCTTCTTTTGCCTTCAAACCAGTTTAGATTCTGACTGTTTGTTGTTGTGTTAGACTCTAGGAATTATCTCCTTCAAGGTCTTCTATAAAGTTGTTTGTTAGCAGGAGAAAAACAGAGAGAAAGGTATGTTCTGCCATTTGTCTACCTAAATGGTAAATTAGATAAGATATCAGGGCTTTGAAGGTATCTCCAAATCAACTCCAAAGAAATTTAGAAATATATATATAATACATTTCTAAATATATATATATATATATATGTAGACAAAAACTAATTGGCAGTTCAGAAACCCATTTGATAGCATGACAAAATGGTGCAAAAGGAATAGATATGGTGATACGGTTTGACTGTGTATCCACCCAAATTTCATCTTGAATTGTAGCTCCCATAATTCCTAAGTGTTGTGGTAGCGACCTGGTAGGAGACAATTGAATCATGGGGGCAGGTATTTCCCTTGCTGTTCTCATGATAGTGAATAGGTCTCAAGAGATCTGATGGTTTCATAAAGGGAAATTTCCCTACACAAGCTCTCTTCTCTTGTCTGCTGCCACGCCTTTCACTTTCTGCCATGATTGTGAGGCCTCCGTACCCACTTGGAACTGTGAGTCCATTAAACCTCTTTCTTTTGTAAATTGCCCAGTCTTGGGTATGTCTTTATCAGTAGTGTGAAAATGGACTAATACAGATAGAAAGGTAACATTTGATTGAACTGGACTGGTTAGAATCAATGTTTCAGTGAAAAATTCACTTAACTTTTAACACCAAATTGAAAAATTGTGTGGAATATTTTACAAGATTCTCCAGTTGGTGTATTTATTTATTTATTTTCAGTTTGACTAATCTTATTTTAGTCCCACAGCTTTTCTGCTGCTGACATCCTCTCCCCTTTCCTTTCCTAGCATTGCTCACTCAAGGCCTCCTTTCAAGATTTGTTTCCTCTCAATATTCCTGGCTCTTGTTGCTGCAAATAAAGCCTTTCATGGAATAGCTAAGAAATAGGTATAGACGGTTGATGTTTTTATTCTGAGCCCAAGAGGAGAATATAGATTCATTCCTTGAGGTGAAAGTTTCCCTGGGATATAAGCTTCAGGAAAGCATGGATTATACTGGTCTTTTTCTCAATTGCATATCCTCATCATTAACCTCCATCTTTGCTCCCTACTCTATATACTTGCATATATTAAATAAATGCAAGAGTACATTTCAAAAATACTTCATGTGGCTCTCAGCAATCATTGGAAATTGAAACCAATCTATGGAGAATATTTTTCTTTTTGTGAATAAGTTGAAGAAAATTCAAAGATTTGCTAAAATGGCTTGAAAACAATAAGTTGGCTAGGCATGGTGGCTCATGCCTGTAATCTCAGCACCCTAGGAGGCCAAGGTGGGCAGATCACCTGAGGTCAGGAGTTCGAGACCAGCCTGGCCAATACGGTGAAACGCTGACTCTACTAAAAATACAAAAATTAGCCAGATGTGCTGGTAGGCACCTGTAATTCCAGCTACTCAGAGGCTGAGGCAGGAGAATCACTTGAATGGGAGAGGTGGAGGTTGCGGTGAGCTAAGATGCTGCCATTACACTCTAGCCTGGGCAACAGAATGGGACTCTGTTTCAAAAACAAAACAAAACAAAACACAAAAACAATGAAGCTTAGGGAAAAGGAAATGTTGTGACTGGATTACCAAGGACCTACCATTTCTTTGTTTCCAAAAGACCAATAAACTCTGATTACATAACCATTATTTACTGTATTCCATGTATCTATGTCTATTAAGCTTACTCAATTAGAAAAACATGCAGGATTCCAGGACCACAGTCTGAAACTCCAAGTCCATCTTGATCTCTATTTGCAGTGATTGAATTATCTTTGCATTCCCCAATGGGCCCAATACCTTGCACACATGAAACTTTCAATAACTACATGTTGAATAGATAGCTAAACGAAATGAATGAATACAATTTTACATTCTTAAAGAAAGGTTGCTATTCTAAAAGTTACTATTACTATGCCCATCTTACAGATAAGAAAATTGAGACTTGGAGAAATCTCACAGCTAGCAAATGGAAGAGCCTAAATTAAAATCTAGGCAGTTTGATGCCAGAGCCTGCCCTGTTCTACATACTGAAAGTACAAGGAAAGACAGACCCAAACTCCTATCACAGACCCAAATTCCTATCATTCACTGATTAAAGGAATCCTTTGAGTAGGTAGGATTTGGAAAACAAGGCTATGTCTGCTCTTGGAATAAGTATCATGATTTTATGAATTTAAATCATATTGACTCTTGGTCCTTGTCTTCTCAAACAAGCAATCCAGACTTTTTGTGTATCACTGGGATACATCAGTGAATGTTAGTTTTAAGACATTGCAAACTAAAACCTGGTTTTAGAATTAGTAACTAATTTTATGGGTGTTAGATTAACCTATCTAAAGCATCAGTTGCTCAAAATATTTTATCCTTAAATAAAATGCTATATAAAGATCTACATGAAAACGAATATTTACACACAAATACACACACACAGACACACACACAAATGTATAGCTCAATGAACTCTACTGAAATTACAAAATTAGAGGGTTTTAGCATTAATTTTTTTTCCAAGTGTCTGCTTCAAAACTTTCAAAGAGGCATTTTGGGAAGTTTACATTCATGGGGTAGAGGGGGTTTTGTGTGTTTATATGAGTGAAAAAATGTGTATGTATTGGGGGTGGGGGGTTCACACTCACCTCCATGGTGCATTTACTGCATTGGTAATTTGCCTGTTTACTTGTTTATAACTCTACCTTTCTGAAACCTTCTCAAGAGCAAGGTGTTTTACTTACCTTTGACATCCTGGTACCTAGTACAGTGCATTACAAACATCTTCAATAGATGGTTGTTGAACAAATTACTGAGAGAATGGCGGATGGTGTTGAAGGAGTTGAAAATATTCATTGTGTTGTATATTAACTGTGTGTTATATATTAACACCTAGGAGAAATAACTTTGTGCTACTTGGCAGATGTGGGGTCTCCAAAGGAGAGGTGGTTCTTGAAGAACTAAGGCTCACTGTTCTCCTTTTATTTGTGTTTCCACAGACA